ATCTCACACCAATCTGGTTTTATCGTCAAATTTGACCTAAATCTGAAGCGACAGCACTACTATACCATCTCTTTAATGGCTTCTCTAATGCTCAATGAAGTAAAGCATCTGGATACCGGTATTTGTAAACAGCCGGGTTTCACCAAACAACTTACTCTATAGGTAACCTAGGAACAAATGGTCAGAAGTCTTAGGAGCCCATTAAATTATTGAAATTATATGTCATAGACTGCAACGTTTAGAATCAAGATATTCGCTATTGAGAACAAACTTCTCTCCACTTTTCTGAGAGAAGGGGCGCAATTTCCAAAACAAAACCACTTAGTGTTCCTTTTATGAAGGTATGGTATCAAATGGGTGGATGCTATACAAATTAAGTGGAGACGCTCTCCCCGAATAACGAATGAGCCAACCATAGGGAACAATTTGATAAGCATCATTGAGAACGAGGGTATGGTAGATGTTATGTGTTTGGGTTTTCGGTTGGTTTTTGGTTGAGCCACTGATGCTCGTCCTGTCAATAGCCTTATATAATTGTGTTCAGGTCATCGGCTATTTAAGTTCATGAGGAATTATACCTCCTGGCAGTAAACGGGACGCTACAAGGAGGTTTTATAGACACCCTTCTTCCATTTGCGTGTGTCCAATCGTACCACTTACCTCTGAAAGAACACTGACATGTCAGAAGTTCATGATATAAAACTTCATGGCCAGAGCAACTTCCATTGTTTATGAGAAACCATATTATTATAGTCCTCACGGTATGATGTTATGTCCTATAACCCACTGAATATCACGTGACAAAACTGCTAATCAGAAAACCAAATTTTATGTCCTTGTTCCTGTGCTAAACAGATGATTCGTTAACCAGCACGAGCAGCCCTGAGTCAACTTTGAGTCATTAATGTCCCTCAACATAATAACTTCTCGCTTAGCCCTGTCCACTCAGTTCAAAACACAATCTTAGCCTTTATTTTATGGATTGTATATTTCGAACTTCCCCATACCACAAAATAAGAAATAATGATCACACAAGATCAAGCCGAAGGTGGCTGTGAGTATGGGCGACTGCAACCGGAAAATTGAGAATAAGTTAAGAACGGTAAATCGTGTAGCAGTAGCCGATATGTCAACTGAAAGCTTATGTTAAACGAAATACGAATACACATAATCTGGTTACTTAATGATTATTCAATTGAAATATGTGTAATAAAACTCCATAAATAACTTCTAGCAGTCACCATTCATTTATTTTTCCTTCGGATATAACAAATGTGTTTTCAACACAGTCTACTCACTAGGAGCACTATCTCAAATACTGTTATCCATAACATATCCTATGAAAATGGGATGTGAGAATTAGTTATCTGCCTCTTCTAAGACAGAAGACAAGAGCCGCTGTTTAGTTTGGTTTACCACAGATCAAACAATGAGGTGAATTAAGTCATACTAGATGAATTTAACACTTTGTTTCCAATTTTTCGATGTTTAATCTCAGGAGATTTAAATGTACTTATGGTATACTGGAAAAATCTGAGAACTGAGTTCCTAGAAAACTTTTTAGAACAAAAACTAGTTGACTAAGGTATTGCATGTGCTCCGGTGTAGCACGTGAAAGGAGCGACTACGTACGACCCGGACTCCAAATAATCTTTGTTGGATCTCATACTGACCTATTATGAAGATGGTATCATAGGCTTTGACTAGATACCATCCGTAATTAAGAGCGACCGTGTGCTTTCAGTCTGACACTTTTATCTTTGTCAACAGCTGTTTATCACTCCAAGCCAGACCATAAGTTTGGAAAGCAAATAAACAAACAGTTATGCACTCAACGCCCTCGTTGTATTGAATAGCAGAACCAGAATTCCCATCAAAACTGCCTGGGAGGTATTTAGGAATTAGTGGGGAGAAATCTACTGCACCATACACTTTTTAGACTACATCGAGGAATCTGAGAAACCCTTAACTATGTTTCAGTAAGGGAGGTTGGCACTCTTCACCGTAAAATGAAAAGAATGTGGAAGAGATCCAGGTTACCGGGTAATGATGAGACGAAATTTCAATATCGAATGGCTAAAAATATTTGTGCCCTGACCCTTTTAAAGTCTTAAAGATTTTGTAAAAGAAGCATTCTAGGGAGCCTGTTGAATAGCGTGAGCGCTTATACTCGTACACAAACAATAGAACAAAGGGATGGGGTGAACTTCCAGGATTGTAGGAAGACAGTTGTACCATATAATGAGTAGAATACGATTATTTCATGGCTCAGGTATTCTCGAATTAATTTAGTAATGTATATACCGTAGAGGCCCACTTCCCTTCAGTTCATACAAAACCTCCCGTACGCACACATTTGACACTGTGCCACCAAAGAAATCAATATCTTTGGTCTGCTAGGTGAGTTTGACATGGTCAAATCCATAAGACACTATGAAATGCCCCCTAGGTTACCAAAGGAATCAGCTAATTTTCTTGCGAATCCCCCAAGCATATGTTTCAATCTATTTATAAACCAGGGTTCATTATTAAAAAGGCTGGGAGAATACTGTATAAAATCTTTTTTTCAAGACAGGTACGAGACACAAACCTGAGAACTGTCGACCCATACGCCTAGTCAGCTTGGTTGTTAAGGTTTTAGAAAAGATTATTTGGAAATTGTACAAGTATTCAGATGAAAGTTGGATTGTTTTTGGGAAGTAGTATAGCTTTAGGATAAGTCATTTCTATCTCGCTAACTTATTGATAGCTCGTGGAAGTTGGCGCGCTCTTTAAGATCAAGAGTGTCCTACAGAAGTAGTCTTCATTGACGTTAGCCAGGCTTTTGACAAAATTCCTCACAAACGGCCGTAATATAAGTTAAGTAATTTCAGGGTTGGAGGCAATTTATTGATGTGGATAAAAGACTTCCTAGACGAGCGTCAACAAAGAGTATAGGTGAACTCAAAGTTGTCTAGCTGGGAGACTGTGCTCAACGGCGTACCTCAAGGTACATTTTTGGGTCTCTTGATGTATGTAGATGACGTTCTTAATCTCCTACCACCATCAGTTTTGTTACGCACTGACGATGTCAACATCTAGAGAGCGATGAAATGTGCAGGCGATAGTTTACACTTTCGAACTGATTTGGAGAAATTATTTGAATGGTCTGAAACTTGGCAGTCACCTGTTAATGCCTCCCAGTGCATTAGAATGCGCAATGGTATTCGAGTTACAGGTAAATACGCGGTGAATAACAGTGAGCTACCTGTTCTTCGAACATGTAATGACCCAGGAGTCATCGTCAGACAAGACTTAAAAATTACTGCACGCTTTCGTGCAATAAACATCCAAGATTTTAGAAACTTATGCTCAATAAGTGGAAACTTTGGTCATATCGATGCTAAATCTCTTGATTTTGTGTACATCGTCTATTCGTTCTAAACTCAAGCATTGCACACAAGCAACTGACTCCTGTCTGAAACAAGACATTGAAATGTTGGAAAAATTTCGGAGAGCTGAAACTAAGCTGCTTACCGGAATCGTAATGCTTTCGATGGCGATAAACTTGTTAAACTAGACCTATTTCTTTTGTCAAACCCCGCCCGTAGCAACTCCGCGGGCTAATGCAGGTCCCAATACCAGATAAAGGAGGACGGTTGGGCATGGAGTTAGCGACCCCATCCGGTAGAAACTCGCTTAAAAACGCTTACCAGAAAAATTCCTTTGCAAAATAAAAAGACAGTAGGTAACTTGGTCACAGTTTTAATTACTAATTGACAGATTTTCATCTTTTATGCACGAGGACGCTGTGAAGAAGTTCATAAGCTAAAAAAATTGCATGTTAGCTGACTCCAAGCTCCAAAATCACCCAAGACCCCTTCGTGTCACTTTCCACGGCAGGCATCGTTAGGCTTATTTCTTTTCGCTGATGATTTGAAACTCCTCAGAGACGTTTGCAGCTTGGAGAATAATCTGGCACTTCAGGAGGATCTAAATAGACTTCCAAGTTGTTCAGATGACAGCGGACTTACCCTTAATACTTCAAAGTGTAAAGTAGTCCAGATGAGATATGCTGCAGACTGCGAATACAACCTAGGTAACTTCCTTCTAGGGGTGCCTCTACTTGAGAAAGATATAGGAGTGTTGATACACCATGGTTTAAAGTCTTACTCTAATTGCTACAAAAATGCCTTTCGAGTAAACCCTGAACTAATAGCGTTAAAATGCATTTTAGGCCAGTTTGACAGGGGAACGTTCCACCTAATTTTCGACAATTGTATTCTACCCGGTGTTTCCCGCCTCATTCCGAAAGGATAATGTTACAGTGGAACGAATCTAAAGATGAGCCACAAGATCAGTTGAGGAACTCAAATCCATACTTTATGAAGAGCGTTTCAAATCAATGGATCTTCATCCATTAAAATATAAACGTCTCGAAGGTTACCTTACAACGACTTACAGAATCCTATACACAACTGCGCATTCCCCAAAACTCCTACCTAAGCCCAGTCCCAACACGAAACTTGGCGGTAAAACCCAGAAACTAGCGACACAATACAGCAGATGGAACCGTAGTCACACCTTCTACTCCTTGAGAGTAGTCGAATACTAGAATCCACTTCCAGGCCCTTTGGGATAAAACTTGACTTATCCTCAAGGATCAAGGACAATATCTCCCTACAACTTACTAATTTTTTCTCTGTTATCGTTAAATATACCTAGGTTTTTACCTTGAGGCCACTTAATACGGAAGTACATTGTGCTTAAGCCTCTTCCATTTCATTCAGAATCATTTGAAACTATTTTTGAACTTTCTCATAGAATCAACAGCGGATGGAATTCATTACGTCAATAAGCGGTTGAAGCTCTATCCCTCAGCGCATTAAGAAAACGTTAAATCAATTGATAGACCATCGCTATTAGGGCTAACAAAAGCAATTCGGGCTCCTGTCATTTCAAAAACTGGAACTTATAATGCTTTAATTTAATTTCTGAAGATGACCTCGGTAAATAACCTCGTGGTGCGCAACTTTTGAGTTTACTCGTGGCTGGAACTTTTAGACATCTCTCTATATTGTCCGAGTCTTTAAGTACAGCCATAAATGTATTTAAACCCTCCCTGTTTATGGTCGATATGTTTGAAATTGCCATAGTACTTTCAAGGTTTAGTCAAAATTTAGAAGAATCATTAATTCTTTTGGAATTGGGATACGATCTGAGTAATTCGAATTAGAGAGATTAGTTTTTCAGCTGGCTAAATACATTATCAAAAAGAAGTTCACCGTTGTGAGAAAACCGACTGGGTGGCCATTTTCTTCCAATGGTATGCTGTATACCCTTTCACCACTTTTTTCTAATCTAAGGCGTATTGCGTAGTGTTTTGCAGATTTCTAGTACATGTAGTTCATTCAGAGCGTGCACCAGCAAGATTAAAACGCCTAAATCATAATTTTCCTGCAATATTTTGTCGTTTTGCTTAGTATTAGGCTGGTTTTAACACTTTTATAGGTTGACCGAATGTATCTCAGTGCCTTCAAATACCTTCAAAAGGGTGGTAACCTGACTACCTGTGTTGGTTTCTAAATATCCAGTTCACTTCATTTACGCATTAAATTCATAAAGTAGAATAAGTTTTCGTATTATCTTTGAAAACTATGTGTACCCAACTTAATCAAGCTCTTTATAAATATTTTTAGTATCTGCATACTCACATGCTGATCAAAAACTAACGTAAACACGTATGGTCAAATTTATTTTACTGCACAACCATTTTTTAGATGAGTTAAAATACCTTTATTACGTGGGATACGTTTCAGTAGATCACATTCTGTTGTCTTAGTGAGTACACTCATCTGCCTTTTTCAGGGCGAAACAAATAAGCCCGACAACTTGCATCTGCTCAAGTTACTACATTTATAGACTACGAAAAAGAAAACATGTTTATTAGATGTAAAATAAAAGCTAAATGGTGAGCAGTAAGCTGTCAAATGTTAAGGAACTATAAATAACCTATATCTGTCAGAAAGTCACGCTTCTAGGGTTCATTACTAAAACACTAAGTTCGGTCAGTACTTAAGTTCAATATGAATCGACTACGTCAAATACTCTTTAATGAAGCTGCTTACATTCTTTGTTGTTACCTGATTGTGCCAGACTCTACATTATTTCCGACAGTCTTTTATCTATTTTGTATGATTGTTTTTTCTGATGAGTATTGCTGCATACCAGATTGTTCTATTTGGACTTGGTATATGGTTTGAGCCGGTGGTTTGAGAAAATGACATCAAATTTGTTAAAAATATCGGGTTTAAAATTCTGTTTATATAAATCGTAGCAATTGGAATTAAATGGTTTCAGTGTATATCTTTCAATTTGGTCTGAGTATCCCGAAGAATTCAGTCAAATCTAAACTTTGATTTCATTCGTTTAGTTTTTTTGCAAATGTAATTTAAGATCTAGCTTATCACACTTTTTTGTCACTATCTAATTTAAAAAATCTTAATTTCCAAGGTGCATTCCACGATTTTTGGTTTGTTTTCCTTGCAGATTTCTTTAATCTGTTTCCCTTTTGAGAAATAACAAAAACTCAGTTTTTCGTTTTCCATAAACTGACATATTTGTTCAAAAAATGTTCGAGGCCCAACCACGGCAAGTAGATATTGCACTTGTTATCGCGTGCCATGACGGTAATTTTGAGGAAGTCAAGAGATTGGTAGAGGATGAAGATGCAGATATATGTTACCAGGTTTGTTACACTCTATTTTCTATGGGTAGTACTCTCAGTAACCTTTACTTATATCCATACCTTCGTTATTTTTCTTGTTCATATAGCGGTAACATTGCATTTGATCTGCGAACGTTTCTTTTTAAGTCTTACTCACTTTAGTGCATTTTAAGCTAGCTAGTGATTGATAATCGTATTTAAAAGCTAAGTAAAACTAGGAAAATATATACTTTGGCTATTTGTTAGCTAAATATTCTTGTTCGAAACTAAGCTTAGTAGAGAACTAGTCGAAGTCCATTTAATTTTATGTGTTGATTAGTGTTACAATTTGAGATTGTTCCTATCGAAGAATTGGCTAAAAAATTATGTTGTTGACGGTGATACATACACTATATAAATTAAGTGCGCAATAAGTAGTTTCAAAATACGTCTATCGATTTTATGTCGCGGAAAATCAGTATTATGCCATGGGGTTCATTACACTTGGTTACCCAAGCCGTTATAGGTGGAGAAACTTTTATACCCACAAACGTAATACTAAAAACTGAGTGCTTTTACCATCAAGTCACAACACAACAGCTATTGATGTAATATCGTGAATATTTCTGATCGATATTCAAATGTATGGGTAACCAACGGTTTAAACTTCGGTCTCTTTTTTACTTGTTTTATACAAAGGTCGTGTAATTACTTCAATTGCCATAGAAAATGCTCAATGCATTCGAACGCCAAGTAATTTAATATATTTTAAGATTGCACTGTCTCTAGTACGATAAGACACAAAGAACATGACTGGAAAATTGTCTTGTAACGGTGGGAAATAAACAGTGAGTCTTTAAAAGTGTTGTCTTGACGAATGTTCATAAAATATTGTGACCTTGGGCTGACAAGTTAAATGGCTTCATTGTAGAGTTAAGTCTAGTAAATTTGTTGAATCACTTTTACTATACAATCAACCAACGCTAACTGGTAAGGTTAGAAATGGTGTTATACAGTCATTTCACGGTTTCAAATAGTCTATATTTCCTAGGTCTCGACGCCAAGGTCGAACTTGACAGTTTCAAATAAATTAAGCATAGGGCAGAAAGTTAGTGATAAAAGTATTTTTGTTATATCCTAATGAGTAGGAAAATTGTATTTCTGAGTAAATAGGGAGCCAAAATAAACTAACACATGTTTGAGTAGTATATATTTTCCAATTCTTGTGTCTACAATCACTGTCAATTATATGGTGTTAAATGACTCTTGAGACGACGGCGTCAGCGGAAAAGACATGACCATATTTCCTAAAGATTTGATGTCTTTAAAAAGCATTCAGATACCAAGATGTGATAATAATTACAACGAATCATAGTACTTAGCTCGAACTAAAAACAAATATCATTTAAGACTGTACTACGCTTACTTCCTTACTAAAAGTTTCGGAATTTATAGAACACGACCGAAAAACTAAAAAAAATTATGTTCAGACCTCTGCACTTGAAAATATTCACTTTGTAAATTACAGACAAGATTACTTAAAACTCGTTTCGACAAAATACTTAATAATCTGAGTTAAATATACAAATTTATTATTCGGTGTATGTTCTTGGAACGCGCAATCTTGTGTTACTTTAACATGTGGTTGTCCTTCGTTTTCTACACAGGATTTCAAAACTGGAATGAGCGTCTTGATGGTTGCGGCAGGAGCTGGACACACAGATATTGTAAGCTACTTATTATCAGAAGGTGCCCCCTGGAATGCAGTTGATCGAAGCTATTTATGTGCCGGGGATTATGCCGCTAGAAATAAACAGCAAGATTGTATTGATATACTGATGAATCATGCAGTTATGTCTGAGTTACTTTTGTCTATCGCAGTAAACAAGTCGGATGCAGGAGAGTCTTTGGAAAATGTTGATTCTATGAATCTTACTACTACTGTAAACACACGTGCAAATAATCCTTCAGAACCTCTCAACGCTTCTTACCTTACTAGCCGACTGGAGTATTCTAATGACGGAAAATGTCTCATTGACACTAATACTCATCTAGCTGTAATGATGGATTGGGAAACTCCAATAATGGAGAAACACGCAGCATGGATTTGTCATGCAGATGAAATAAATAATACTATCAGTTCACCTATTCGAGTTTTAAATGTTGGATTTGGTTTGGGAATTGTTGACACAGCTATACAAAAGTATTCACCTGACTCACATTATATAATAGAAGCTCATCCGGAGGTAAGTTTTAATTCAAAAGGTATTCCTCTAGATATAAACATCGGTGAGCAAGATCTCTACTGCTGTTCTTTATTCCTACCTTAACCTCTGTTGTTATTTCAGCTGCAAATGTCCTAGTTCATTTAATTATGATTAATTCAGTTGTATTTCGGAACTTTACTAAAGTACATGGTCAACTTCCTTTGGGACAGATGGTACTGCTGTCTGTCTCCTGATAAATTATCATCCACCGTAGTTTTTGGGTTTACAGTAACTCAGGAGTTTTTATAAAATTTCGTCTAACCATATTCCATGCCAACAGTTTCCCTGCAACATGATTACATTGCTAGTTGCGGTAGACAGTTATTAAAACTACATTGAGTATTTTAATGACGATCGTTTGTGTTTGTTACTTCATTTATTAAGTTATCTGTACCAAAACTAAACCTGTGCATAAAGTAAAGAATGTCTCCAAAAACAGTCGTTAAATTGATTAACCGGTTACCAGCGCATGTTTGTGTGTAAAAAGTCATTTGAGAAAGATTGTTTCAAAATCCCCTACTCTTGAAATAAACAACTGGCCGTAATATTTCCTTCGTTTCAAGGTGCATAAAATAACCCAACGATCGAGATATATCACTTCAAGTACATTGATGGGCCTTCATTTGAAGTGTCATTACCTAGTGAAATCGTAGCTTTCCCATGCTAAATTGCCTCATCAGGAAGATTAAATTCATGTTCACATATACAGAGCAATAAGTTAAGAAATCATAAGCACAACTAAATTTATTGGTTCTAATGCAAGTTCATTTCAAACTATTTTACAACCGTGAGTACAAACAAATCATGAAAAAAAAGCCATACATTTGTTGTATCTTTCATTATAAAACCTCCAGTGTTAATAGAGTAATTTAAAATCCTAGTAACTAGAACTACTACACGGTTCTTATGTGTAGCTTTGCTTTAGCAATTAGCTGGGAACCAATATCACTGATTTATTTCATTATCCCTTTATTCATTGTTATAAGAAGGTTAATACTGTCGGTTTTAAATTCAAAACATTATTTTTGCTTGTTTATTGAGGCTTTCAGTCATGTCTCAAATGATGAATAATTGGAATTATAAGTGACTCTTACAACGTTTCATAGGATGGTAACCGTTTGGTCACGGTGTTTCTTTCTGCGTATACAATATTGCTTGAGTGTAGGGCTTGTATTCGGTCAACTAAAGTTTATAAACGCCACTGCTAACGTAGTACTAATTGTAGGTGTTGGAGAAAATGAAATCCGAAGGATGGTTTGCTAAGCCAGGTGTCAGGATAATTCCAAGTAAATGGCAAGATGCGGTCGTCCTACTAGCCAAGGAAATTGATGACGGGACAATTCTGAGGTTTAATGGGATATTCTTTGACACATATGCAGAGGACGATAATGATTTGAGAGAATTTCATACGTGGTTACCCAAACTTCTTTCTATCCCTGATCAAAAAGGTGTGGAAGATCTACCTTCCTCAGGAAGGTATTCTTATTATAACGGTTTGTGTCCTGACAATGTATTTTTTCACGGAGTCGCATGCGAAACTATGAGGTTGCATTTAAAAAGGTAATTTGCGTTCTTCATTTTTAATTGGATAGTATGAATTCAATTTATTAATTTACGGACATACTCCTTGTTTAACTGGCAAATCACTTCCGGCAGTAAACCAGGGAAAAATTGGTCGAGCTCTTTTAAAACCCTTCGTATAAAGATTCAATAAAATGGTCACCTAATGCAAACTTAAATACGCAATTATTGTCCAAATTACAGCTTAAAATCTCAAACAAAACCTAATGAAACTACTATTATTAATTTACATTTCCCTGATGAACCGGAGCGAGGTACTTCCAGATTTGTTGATATACCGGATGAACTTAAACATCTTTACGCGGTATACTACGCTACTAAGATAGCACGGTAATAAGACTGGTGACCTTATGATCGAGTTTATACTACCACTAGATTAGATACTTGGAAGATCTGCTACACACAGACTAGACGTTTTATTAGATACATGACTCATGACCAAAAATAAGGAACCAGAGTAACGGAAGATAATACTTTGTTCCTGATGGTTACAATAAGTGACTCTGTGAGTCCAGAGTAAAAATCAATAAGAGAAAAGGGAATTATATGTTTAATAGTTAGTTAATTGCTTGCCTGTCTGTCCACACTCAGTGATCAAGCACATTTACTCTCACTGCTACATATCAAGTACAATACAATTACTATCCTGATTACTGTCCGTTCTCACACTCTAGAGGGATGTGATAGGGTTTTGAAGTGAAATGACCACTATCAAGCTGTTATAGAAATATATAGATACATCCCGTCGCCTGTGCCTACTTCTATCGATGACAACGTAAATGGAAATCGTCTCTGATTTTCTCGTGTTTGGTAACTTTAGCGAGTGATATTAACCCCCTACTAGGTAAGCTAAGTCAAGCTAAAAGACTGGATCAGTTCATATGACCTATCTACTCCTCATTCGCCCATTAGTCATGGTAGAAGTATCCAATTAATTGATTTTCCTATTATTAAAATGAGGATCGACAGCCCTCCTTGAAAACATCATTTGGATCTATATTGAAAGTAAAATTACAGAAGTTTCTGCAATACACAAATGACTTAATTGCATCTGATATAAGTAGATTGGATGGTTCAGATCAGTCCTTAAGACGTAGGAGTAAAATGATCAAAAATGAGGGTTGATATCTTCGAAAATGCAACTTGACATACGTACATCATATGACATTGTGCGTAAGTAACGAAGGTCTGTGGGTTGTCAAAAATCAGCAGCTTTTAAAAACTGTACAAAATGTCCCGTAGTCACTATGTTTCATGGACTACTATTAAGCGCTTGCAGAAACTTGATGTTTTTATGGGTCAAATGTAAAATTACGCTTAGAGATGAATCTGACTTCCCATCCTATTTACGAAACTTTAAATGGTTACTTATAATAATTTGGAAATAGCATGGATCCACAAATTCTCTATTTCCTTCAAACATTTCACGTACTATATTTCTCATTCAATGTTGTCGTCCACTATTATTGATTCTGTTTTCGGTTTTTTCATATGAACTATAACGCAATAGTTCTACCTCAATTCCTTATATGTAAATCCGAACACTGCTGGAAATTTTTATACAATACTTACATTTTTCTTATCTAGGTTGGGAATAAGTTGTATATTTGATCCAGTTGCTGTTGATGTTTCGGACCAAGAGCTGTGGAAAGATGTTTCTCAAAGATATTGGTATTTTGATACATATTTTTTGCCAAAGTGTACTTTCACTCCTTATGAAAAGGACTAATAAAGTTTATTCCTTTAAAAAATGTCTTGTTTTAAAACTGCAGTATGTTCTATCGAAACGCAGATATTTTCGTATACGATTTCATCATTCTCAATGTGTGCACAAGTAAAAACCGATTCAATGATTAGCATTAGTTTTATCATCAATAATGAGCAGTGTAGAGGAAATGAATCGAATTCTTTTTCGTGCAGCTAAGGAACTGCACTACATGGTACACGGTGCTTCTAAAACGGACATTAACTGTTAGTTCAGGCTGCTTGACATTACGGATAATGACGAAGTCTAATGATCGGACTTTAATTTCATGGGTTTGTTATTGAACTGCAAGTCGTTGACGTCGTAAATAAATTATAATCATGTTCGTCATTTTTCTTACTTTGTCTTCTGACAATCATTCATTGGGTTATTATATTAGTAACTAAAATTCACATTATTCAAATCAATCCAACTGATCGGTCGAATATTTAACAACCACACATTTCCTCTGTTATAACACCATAGCTAATGTTTGGTTTGATTAACCTCACATTTTGTAAATCGTTCATATTGATTCATAATCCAGTTAAGACAAAGGATAGTAATTAGGTCACCTCGCTAGTTTGATAGCGAGGGCGTTTGAATAATTGCACCCTCTAATTCTTGCTTAACTCTTTCGAAATATATGCGTATTTTGGATAAAGCATAGCTTCGGCAGTTTCGCCTCGGATCCATATTTGTTAATGGTGTAAGCCATTTTAAGTTCGCAACCGTCTAACAAAGTACAGCTTTTTGGCAAAAGTTTGCATATTTTTAATTATAGCTCAAAAACCCTGGTAATAGTCGTCGGACCGATGTCACAAAAGTGTGTCTAGAAAGTTAACTTGATAATAATAAGCAGCATAATGCACAGTACAACTAACAACTACGTAGGTCTCCGTTCGACAAAAAGGTACATCTAACTTAGGCAGAATGGGATACGTTAGCGAAGGTTTAGTCACCTTACATTTAACCATTTCGTTGCCCCCTAATGTCCTGGTACGGCCGAAAGTGGGGAGAGTCACTTCTCCCTCTCGAAATGCTCTCACATGGCCGCGCGTATATAGCCTCTGTCAGGGAAGTCCTACTCACTGCCTTCTCGTGGCGGGGGTTTGTCTGCGAAATTGAGAGCGAATGTCCGGCGCTTTAACCGGGTTGGTGGACACGGAAAGTTCACCTAGGGGAGTTGGAAAACCCTGATTCTAAACCAATGGTGCACATGGGCTCCAGTATCCTGAGGGAACAAATGGCGTATGATCCGATCGTTGGTCACCGGCTACCATGACACTGCATTTCCTCACGATGCTCCACTGCCTTGTGGATCAGACCTTTAGGTCAAAGGCTCTCGGTGTGGTCCCCTAAGTAAACCACTTGCTTCAGTTAGGGCACCTATGCAGTATCACGGCCCTCACACAAATCGAATGAGATTTGTGCGGCGCATATATATCTGGTGCCTTTTTGTACCAATATTTATGTGTTAAAATAAATAAAAACCATTTCGTTGAGTCTTAAACACCTAAACAAGACGTCTAATATGTCAGTTTTGTGTTTCTGTCAGATAACATCATTTCCAAGGGACTATGTATAAAAGCACTGAGAATTGACGTACTATAAAAATGGAAAGAACGAACATATTACAGTAGACCGCGAAAAAATGCATTAATTTCAGCTGCTACATATCTCAACATGAAAATACAATCACGAAGATACATATTTGACATAGGTTAAGAAAGGCAAATAGGTCCGGAATAACATGGAGTAGATGTATAGACTACCGCTCAACATCCGCGGCCTCCAATTTCTGGTTTTTACTAATAAGAGAGTCACACACGAAAGTCATCCACCTTTCTCTTACATGAATCAAACCAGCATCCGCTGATTACATGGACTAAGGTCACATTCATCAGCATAGAAACCACCTAAAGTCGGAACGGAGTACTAAGAATGCTCGTGTTTAAATTATGTTAAAATACACAAAACTGTATGAGAGAGCATAAACGTGTGGTTTTTACAGATACGTAAACCTGAGTTTGAACACAGCATACACTAGTGAGAAAATGGAATTATACAAGTAGTTAACACATTCTATTAATGACTCTTCTTCTCACCATACAGGTCAGATACCAAGTTCTGCAAAAACCCGTCGTATCGACTTCTTTGTAGTTCGCCTTTTATGTTGAAGAACTCCGCTGCAGACTTTTCAACGGAAAGCGTTCTGACTTTTTTGGTAATACCGTCACACACTGTTAAGCTTAAATGATATATGGGATCATATCTGCAAGCAAAATTGAGAATTTAGAACGATATTACTTGTTCATGTATGAGCATACTGTCCATGAGTCAGCTGGATCTAATCCTGTCTTATCTTCTTTGAGTCCAGTGAAGAAGACATTCTTCTCAATATACATTACATACAGTGTTATTATAGCTGACAGGAAGAAGTAAAGTGTAACACAGACTATTAGTACTGTTCGAGAATGGGGATGTGGGTACAAATAATCGAATAAGACTCCGAAGCCAGCTATTAGGACAGATATCGTACATAAAATTAATCTTCCATCGAAAAGTTTGTGCGTCTCGAGTAAACCATGCTTTTTCATGAATAACTACGAAACATTATTTAAAACCTACATTACCTCTTTAGCTGCATCATCAAGTGCTATTTTTAGTGCACCAATATCCCACTTATTAACTGTGATCTCTTTTGGAGTCTCACAAGACATTTTAAATTATTGACGTGACGTTTGGCAGAATACGTGTACAAATGGTTCATTTGAAGTACACCCTAACAAAATAGTAATGTTTGAACTGAAATTTTAACTAAACTTTGATAAAGCAGGAACGTTTTATTATTCTCGAATATACTGTCGCACTCTTTTTTGTAGCACTGATCTGTTTTCGGACTATTACTGGAAGCAATTCAGTTGTAGCGCAAAACCTTAAAATTCCGATTGATGGAAATAGCCAACTGTTTGTTCTTTAGTATTTGACTGTGAGTGTTAAGAGGGATTTCATTATTATGGAAAAGCACATTTCTTGTTTTATTCTTTTCGAACCTAAATGGTAAAACTACTGACAAATAATGATATGTCGAGAAATAGCATTTGAAATAAATTCTCGCAGTAATTGTGGAGCTAGAGTAAAAGCAACATGATTACTGATGCACCTGTTGCGAGCTCAACTATGCCAAAGTAGTGAAATAAAGTCTCTACTTAAGTACAAGTAAATTTGTGGTTTTTCTTCTTTGGACTCATTACCAGATAACGATATCTCCTTTAGGTAAAAAGATCTGATGTAACTCCCGAAATTCACCGTCATATTGTGCTCCACCGAGAGTTCGTCTATTCTAGGTATGTCGGGCAGAATAACAAGATGCCACCTTCATTTGGATATGTGTCTGAGTTATGGTAGGTGATACAACCTGAGAAATTGCGCATAGTGGTCTTCCAGGAAATTAAGTGATCAGATATTAGTTGTGAAGAGTGAATTATGGCGAGATATGCATCCTTGCTTTATTCCATTTATGTTACACACATATCAGTATTTATGGGAATCATATTACTAGTAATGTGATCATACTTTCTGTTCAGGTCGTTTTCTATTATAGAGGTATCCGTCGGACCTGTACCTTCAGATCATCTGAGAGGTTGAAAGGAGTGAATATTCGGCAAGTCGTTGATGAATAGTAACTGTTGATAATAATAGTGAATAGGGAGAAGAGAAAGAGATTTAAGAAACTACGCTTATCGCTGTCATACAAAGCGAACGATCCTTGACAACGCTTAGTCTCTCAGTTAAGCATTCTTAAAAGACCTAAACAAACTCCATGATTACCTTTACAAATATAACAGTTCATGATCTCTGGTATTGAACGTTATAAGGGATTCAGAAGTCCAATATGATATGATCGTTCAAGTCTAAATGACACAGTCCAAGTGTTCACAGTGATGAGAATGACGATGCAACGGATATTCTAGTTTTACAACTAGATACCAGTAGCACCTTCTAAATTCGATTGTTCCCAGTCAGATAGAAATCAGAAGTCAGACGAGAAGAAGCAGGAAAGATATATTTGATTCGTTACCAATATATCAAGGACCTTTTCTATGAGCTGGCTAATGAAACGTAGGAGCTGTGTCCCACGCCGAGTCGAAACGTGATCTGGTGCGGATGCATGACCGAAAGCCTTCAGCTAAACAAGTCCACTTAAACAACGTGGTCAGCATCCAATGTCGAACACTTAATGAGCTATTGATTTTGGGGAATTATTTACAGCTACAGATCACTCCCCCCCCTAGTGAGGTAGTGATGCCCCTAAGACGTGACCAGCCAGAAGTTTAAACCCAACGAGTTTGTCGTTGGCAAACACTCTTCTGATAGCTTGCTTCGTTTAGCAGCGTCTGGTCGTCTTTCCTTAAGCTAAGGGACCAAAATGTACAACATAGCAATAAAGAAATATAGTACAATGAAAATTTCCGTTCCTTGCGAAAACTTCGTCGTTCTTTTCCAGCCGTCCTGGAAAAGAGGAAAAATAAAACGTGTGAGTGCATGTCGGAAATACACTCGTACTTGCGTAGGGACACAAGATGAGCGGGAAAAAAAAAACTAATACACTTACAAACAGCGTAAAAGCACTCAGAAAAAAAGTGTTTTTTTGTGTTTTTTTATATATAAAAATATATATATACGCTCAAAAAAATAAAAATGTTTTGTTTTTTTTTGGTTTTTTTATATAAATAAAAAATGAGCATATTAAAAATTTTTTATAATGAACTATGGAAGGGTAATTCAAGATAAAGCTTATGTCCTACGTGCAATATTCGTTAAGATGTTCTGGAAATCTTACTCGTCTTCCAGAAGCGTTGTTTTAGGTTTTTCTATCGACGTTGACGAAGTATCAAGTTGTGTGTCGGCTGTCGTGTAGGGTACTACGAGTGTAGTAGCTGTGTCGTTTGCTTGTACCGAAGGAAAATCGACGTAGCTAGGGTTTCCTTCTAGGTA